AATTTGTGATAACATTGAAGTGCCATGTGTCCAGTTTTCCCACATAGTTGACATATCATTCTTCGTTTATAAAAATTTCTACCTCTGCCACGGCCTTTTCCAAAACTTCCAGCAATTGAATGCATGTCCTGACCACTCGAGTAGACATTCTGTGACTCTATCTGTCCTTGAGATGGTCCATACACGAGTTGGTTTGATTGGTGAGCTGTTGCATTTGAGTTTTGTTGATGTGGCTGAGAGTTCATGGTCTGTTTATTTGCAAGAAAGACTGCTGCTTCATGAAAACCTATATACACTGAGTGTTGTTTCTCCAACCTCATCTCATGCTTGTGCAATAGGAACTGTGCTTCTTGAAGAGAAACATCTCCACTTCGTGAGGTTAAATTTGCTACAACTGCATCATACTCGGTTCCCAAGCCATCAAGAATGTACATAAGTAACTCTTCATCATTAACAACTACTCCATTGGCAGTTCAAGATCCAGCAACTTCTTTCATTTTCAGTACATAGTCATTGATGCTCAAATTTTCTTTTCTGGTTGTTTGTAGAAGATTTCGCAGATGCAGTATTCTAGCTTTCGAATCAGTAAGAAAATGCATTTCTAAAGTTTTCCAAACATCAAAACTTGTTTCACAATTTGCTACATGCCTAAACATTGTTTCATAAATGGAAGAGATCAACCAGCCAAATAGAAATTGATCTAATTTTTTCCAGATGGCGTACTCTGTGTTGACAGCTTTTCCAGAATTATCATTTTGAGAGATTAAGTAAGGTGAAGGACACAGTTTATCACCTGTAACAAAACCTTCCAGTTCGTAGGCTTTCAATGCAGGGAGTACTTGTGACTTCCAGTAGGCATAGTTCTTCTCTCCTAGTTTCACGGTGATGGTTGGTAGAGCATTTGCTAGAGGAAAAGATGATACCGAGCTTGAGATATTTCCATCAGTGTTGATGTAAGTTGATGCAGATGACTTAGGATCAGCCATTGACGTTTGTCAATTAAGGCTCTGATACCATAAAAACGTACAAAAGAAAAAAGAAGAAAAGACAGAATATAAAGACTCTGAAACAGAGAGTGAAAAAATCAATACTGAAGCATTTATCTCTTTCTAAATTTTTCTGAATACATTTCAACTTTTTCTTCTGCAATTTATAAAGAGGTAAGTTAGGTGCTGTCTCTGCTTTTTGGAATCTCAACCACCCATTCTTCATCACTAAGTTTCTACACTAACCATTGGATTTATTTACGTTACCAACTTGCATAACTAATGGATAACGACTTATCGACTTTAAATGAGTAACAACCCTGTCAACTTGCATAACAATATTAGCTGCAACTTGTCAACTTGTTCAACTGATTTTGATCCACTTGCAATTTGTTTGAGAGAAGTGCAGGAAGTTTTGATATCTGAGAATCGAAACGCTTGAACTGAAACTTGCTGCAGTTTACACTTTGTTATTTTAGGACTTAGAAGTTGGAACTTGGAATTGGAACATTGTGATTTTGGATATAAAGAAGCTATGAATGATTGATGTGTTTGTCATAGACTATATATCATTATATTAAACATTTTGGATTTTGGATATGAAGAAGCTGTGAATAATTTTAATATATAGTCTTACACTATATATTAAAATTATTTGAAATATTGAAATTAATTAATAAGGAAAAAGTTATACTGTTATAGAATATTTAATCAAATTGGGGTGTATTTGTAAATTTTATAGGTTTTTTGTCATTTTGTAAAGTAATAGGACCAATGATAATTATCTAGTTCCTAATTTGAGGAACCGATTAGTTCCTCCAAAAATCCTAGGGTACCCAGACTCGCATTACTTATACTAACCAACTCTTACTTAATATTTCCCCTTAAACAAAACATCTCTACATCTTGAAAGTCTCCTCAACAAACTCTTAGCTTTTACTTAATATTTCCCTTTAAACAAAACATTTCTTCATTCTAAAAATCTCCTCAACAGACTCATTTCTTCTCCAGATACATTTTCACTTTGCAACATATACCAGCTTTCAACACTACACATTACCGCATTTTTCAATACATACCAGCTTTCAAAACTACAAATTTATACCTTCAGTACCATCAACTACTGTAGACCACAATCAAGACTTCCAATCACAAGCAACTTCAGTACTCTCAACTTTTGCAAACCACAATCAAGACTTGCAATCACAAGCAACTAAAGTACTCTTTAGTACTATCAACTTCTACAAACCAAAGTATAAAGTCAGGTTAGTAGCCAAGGGGTTTCAATAAACCCCTAGCCTTGACTATTTTGAAACATTCTCACCAGCAGTGAACGTAGCCACCATTAGAATTACTCTCTCTCTCTCTTTCTCTATTCCTTTTTGCTTTATATTACAAATTGTGAAAATATCTTCATGGTATCAGAGCTAAGCCCAGTTAGCTAAGTCTTGACCAATGGGGGAGGAGTTAGAGCTAGCAACTACCTCCATTAACAGGCATGACCGTGAGGGAGAGTGTTAGAGTCTTATGCTAGTGAAGCACGCTCAAGTCTGCTAGTTTATAAAAGGGGGTAATCCTCCTATTCAACAAAGCCTTATTGGGTGAGGAGTCAGGCCCACCTCAAATTCTATCAAAGATCAAACCCTAATTGTCAACCACCGTAAATCAAAGTTTTGTGCGCCTCAGCCTAAATTTTGGTTGCTTTCTACACCAGAAATTGACCTCGTCACCACCATTAAACTCACCGGCACCCCCCACCAAAATCCTCTCACCCCCACCCACAATCACTCCTCAATCGTTTTGTCGTTTTGTCTGGGCTATGAGTATAGGCTATTGTTTAGTCGTTTTGTGTTCTACCTTTGCCCTTTGGGTTTGTTCAAGGGTTTGCAAGCTTAAGGGTTCCTCCCTTTCCTTGTAATTTCCTTTTTCTCAATATATTTACCAGATTTATCCAAAAAAATCACTCCTCAATCGCTGGTAGTTGCAACAGAAGAAAACAAAATCTGGTGAGGTGATGGCAAAACAACTGTGCGCTCAAGTGCATCGGGAGGGATCGCACACACTGGTCGCGTGCTTAAGGTCGGGGAAATATGAGTGGGGCAAAACGTTGAGCACTTGGTGTGTGTTGACAAAGGAAAAGCAAATGGTCATCGTCAGCAAGGGAAATTACCCAAAAAACAAAGTCAAATAAGCATCAAACAATCAAAGACCAAGTCCATTTAAAAAATTATCAAATCGAAATTAATTCAGCTGGATAAAATCAACCCAACCACGGTGGTATGCGCTAGTCACGACCAATGAACGGTGGTTCAGCTAGTGATGTCAAATTGAATTTTGGTTGCTAGAATCAGCTGGAATTTGGCTAGAAAAGCAAGACCCTAATTGTGCAGTGGCCAGTGAACGATGGGAGGGGAGTAGCATCCCACCTTTACTTATAATGGATTTTTTACCATCCTGCCCTTCTTCATAACGAAATTTACTAATGAAATTGTGCTTTGGGTAGCCAAGTTGCATTTTAAAATGTTTTTGGTTGGAAAGTGTCAATAGGCCATTATTTGGGTGGGAAAAAATAGTTTACTCTTATTTAAAACAATTAGTTACACTCCTATAGTCCTGTGAAAACTTGGTAAGAAATAATAAATTTGAATTTTGGTTGTTGATGTGAAAATTTATATCAACCAAAGATACCCAGTCGACCTCGAGAGGGGCCAAGTAAGATGTGCTCGTGCTTATTGGTAACCAGTGAGGTTGATAAAACGATGTAAACAAGTAAAGAACAAAATAGATTTTTATAGTGGTCGGTGGTACCAAGACCAAACCTACATCCACTGTTATGTTATTGCTTAGAGGTGTTGTATGATTGAGAGAAATTACAAGGGGAATGGACGTGAGAGGACATTTAACTTTGGCGACTTTCTCTCACTTAACGTTCTTTTACACGCATGAGTGTGTTTTCCTCTCGAACTTTACTAAAACTGGAATCTGTCACCTAAAATAGAGGTTGTGGCCTCCTTTTATACTTGGTCTGTTTGATAGTGGTTGAAAGTGGATATTACAAGGTTGCTTGCACACTTAACCCCCTTAATTAGGATCTGAGTTAGTAATCCCCATACTTGTGATAGATCAGGTCATACTAATGGTAGCTTAACCCATGCCAGTTGTCACCTTGTGGGAGAAGGTAAGCACTGATGGGACGACATGTGGGAGGATCCAAGTTGTTAGGCTTTGATACACCTTAAGGATGAGTGGTGCAAATCTGATTGCCAGGAAATTAGACCCAACATGGGTAAGTTTTACTTTCAAATTGGTCTGCTTTCTAAAAGTTATATCATATATGTGAATATTTGATAAATTATATTTCAATAAAGTATTTAATAAAATAGAATATATGTTACGACATGTGGGAGGATCCAGGTTGTCAGGCTTTGATACACCTTAAGGACGCATGGCACAAATCTGACTGCCAGGAAATTAGACACAACATGGGTAAGTTTTACTTCCAAATTGGTGTGCTTTCTAAAAGTTATATCGTATATGTGCATATTTGAGAAATTATATTTCACAAAAGTATTTAATAAAACAGAATATATGTTTTTATTAATTAATTTATTAAATTTAAAAATAAAAGAACTGGATTTAGTTAAACACTAATCTTGCAGCATTTCGTGGCATATTATGCTGTGAATATCACTAATGTGTATAGAAGATAAGGCTAAAGAGAGAATCTTATATTTAGAAACTGAGACGTAGCATGGTATGTTGCAATAAAAGCACCAACATCATAATTTAATTTGAAATCCCATATATAGATTACAACTTTAATTAACTACTCCCATATTTAGATTACAGCTTTAATTAACTACTCCCATATTTAGATTACAGCTTTAATTAACCATATATTATTAATTAATAATACCAAGTCCATTTATGTCTTCAACACGACAACACCAACAGCTGCAAACGAAAGACAGATGCACCCAACTTGAACAATTAAACTAAGACACCCAACTTGAACTAGTCCTTCAATGAGAAGAAGGTCTCTGTGTAAATGCAGATCCCAGTATCCCTTCGTAAATTCAGATTCGGACCTCTCCTAAAGAATCGACTTCCAATGTTGTAGAAATCCAGCCTTTCTTGCTGAGAATTGATAATAAGCTCTCCATTCATATAGCCAAGAATAAAGATTTGTGTCAGTTCATCATCAAATCCTTCCAACTTAGTCAAATCAATGGTGTACTCCTTCTCCCATATCTTCTTCACTGGATCTTTCAGAATCCACACATTTGTGACCGGAGGATAGGCAAAAGTGTCCACCAAACACAGCTGCCCTTGAAGTTCCACCAAAAACATGTCGTTTCCTTCCACGTAAGAAGTCGCATGTGGATGAGGAATGAAACCGAACGTTTCCGTTTCCAAATCTAGGGACAAGATTAATTGATACTCTGTGGGGTTGCATCCTTCCCACGCCATCCAGTAAAACTTCTTGTCCACTAAAACGCCCCAACCAGAAACCATGACAGGGCATTCATTCTCGAGTTGTTTCCATGAGTTAGAACTCACTACGCCGCCATCTGATAAAGTCATGATCTCACATTTGATGGTGTACTCCAACGGTTCTTCATTTTTAATGTTATAGAGATGAACTAGCTTGTATTCATTCGTTGATTGAATGTAGCCAAATCCTGCATCGACTCCACCGCAAGTGGAAGGTTGCGCCCTGGGGAGTCTTGCAATCTTCTTCATGCTGGGATTGAAGGCACAGAAAATCCCTCTGTTAACGAGACACACCAAGCCATGGCCCGATGGTATCATGTACATGTAGCCAACGACAAGTCCACGAGCTCTGAATTGCATTACGCCCTCCATGTTTGTGGTGAAGAAGCGAGCAACTTGTCTCCGATTGTCTTCCTCGTCATCATGATCAGCGGATTGATCAAGAAACAGCAACTGACGATCTTTCTGAGCTCGCTCAAGGTGTAGCTGTAAGAAATAGGGATCAGTTAATATGCCCAACCAATCTTTGGATACGCACCTGCATTTGCCTATAATCTTCACAGGAAGTCTTGAAAATATGTTGGACTTGATCTCAAGCGGGATTTTTGCCATCTCTATCTTTCTCAATTTACTCATCATTGGATTAAATAGTAGGATTAGAAAGGACTATCCTTCTTTTTTCTGTACCATAAGAAAGCAAATAGATGAACATTGTATGTGCATTTCATATGCAAAACAGATAAATAAAATCTAGTTAATGTTACATATACAAACTACATCAATCATTATTCATTTTAGCTTGTTTAGACTATTTTTAATTTTAGATTATCCAATCTTATTACAGTACATCAGTTTATATGTATGAGCTTAGTTTATATATGTAATATGACTAAAAAAAAATCTAAGTACTAAAAAGACTATATTAAGAGACCCTATTTTTATTTTTATCGCTCAAAACTACCAAAAATATAACTAGTACCAGAATCCTAAATTTAGGTTTAATCATCAAGAAAACAGTACAAACGCAAGCACATCTACAACTTGGAAGCAAGGATTATTTGAGACTAAATTTGACTGTAGATAGCGCGAGGAGATCAAATGAAGGGGATTATAATTAAGAAAGGACGTGTTACAAAGTTTGACGAAAAAATAAAAATAAAAATATAAAGGCATAGACTTTGGGTAATAATAATAAATTGAAGAAGTGCTTTTGTGAATGTATAATTATTAACAGTTTCCATCGCAAATGGTTTTGGTTCCCAGGACTCTGATAAAATTTGAATATTGGTAAGGAAGCTTTGTGAAATTATCTTCAAAATAAAAAATAAAAATAATCCAGAAATAAGTCAAGGCAAAGAAAGTAATTAAATTAGTTTTAAGGACGAAAAACTATGGTAATGTGCTATCTAAGAGGGGTAATATAATATGCTATGTCAGAGTTGATTTACACACATAACAATCAGTAACATAGGACTTTATTGAATAAAAATTAATAAGAATATATCTTTTATAAATAAATATATGAAAAGAAATTGATATATACAAGTACAATTCATATTGTTATTGTAGTTTACCGTTAAATACCGTTATATCTATAACTATCTATCAATAATGAATTTCAACTATTAAACTATTATTATCATATTATACCGTTAATATCTTTATATCTTTAATTATTTGTCAATTATTAATTTTAACCACTCATTTACTCTTTCTTCTATGTTCAGTAGATACTAAAGTAATTTTATAATATTCTACCGTTAAAACCGTTATATTTATAACTATTTATAAGTCATTAATTTTAACAACTTGTTCACTCTTTGATCTTTGTTTTACGTGTTAGTAGATTTTAAACTGTTATTATAATATTCTACCGTTAATATCGTTATATCTTTAAGTATTTATCAATCATTAATTTCAACTACTTGTTCACTCTTTTTTCTAAGTTTAGTAGATATATACTAAACCTTTATTATATAATATTCTACCGTTAATACTGTTATATTTATAACTACTTATAAGTTGTTAATTTTAACACCTCTTTCATCACTTTTCATTGATTAGTATATTTTAAACTGTTATTACAATATTGACCATTATATCTATAACAATTATTTATCAATCATTAATTTCAACCACTCATTATATCTCTCTTTTGTAATCAATAGATACTAAACTATTATCATAATATTCTACTGTTAATACCTTTATATTTATAACTATTTATCTAGTTTCAACTACGCACTCCGTCTCACTCTTACCAGTCACAATAATTTTAGTAATTAAGTGACATATTAACAAATTGAAGAGATCAGGCAGAAACAAAAATAAAGAAATGATTCACAAAAATAGACATTATACATGAATAAGGTACAAACCATAAAAATGTATAGAGAGTACAAGAAAAATGAATATAGTATGGGAATATTTTAATGCTTCGTTAGTATTATCGAAAGCATGCAATGTCATGATACAATTGGAATGATAAAATTGAGAAAAATGATAGAACAAAATAATAATAATAATAATTAAAGAGAGAGAGAGAGAGAGAGAGAGAGAGAGATCGATTTAAAGAAAATATACCTGCCGAGCAAAACTGAAACTTGATCTAGAACTGAAACTCAATTTCCAGGGAGGAAAAACAGAAATAGAGAGAAAGAGATAAGAGTTTTAGTAACTCTAAGGAAGATGTGAGGCACCTGGCTGGATAGCTGGTCTCAATTTTTTATAGTAGAATAGAGAAGGTTGAGATAAGAAGGGTTAAGATTTAAATAAATCCAATTTTTAAAATGGAGTCCACACAACAAATGAAATAGGAGTTACGAAATAGAAAAAGACAGGGAAACTAAATGGAAATTACACTGTCTTAATGCATGTTTGCCAAATATGATACTACAGTACAGAGAGTGAGTTTATTTAGATAACTACGCATTAAGTCTCTATTCGGTTCATGCCCTTAAAAAGGAAAAAAAACAACAAAAACAATTTAAATTAAGGTTTTTTCTGACTTAATAAATTAATTTTAACTTAAAATAATATACAAATCTGCAGTTACTAAGATATATATAATTTTAAAATAATAATATAGATATATCTCAAGTTTTTATTCAATTTTATGTAAATATATAAATATATAATGAGGTCTTATTTAAATTTTGCAAATATATGCATCTCTTTCCAAAACATTTCTTGTCTTCTTAAGAATTTTTAAGTCTCAAGTTTGTTTTATAATTAACACTGAGTCCACCTCACGCAAATATTTATTGTAAGAATATACAAACACACTGTAATTTTTCCATAGAAGTTCCGAAAAATTAATGTGATATTAATATCTCACATGCCATGCCAGATATTATCTTTAATATGTACTTGTATACAATTTTTATATGGTTGAAGTTATTGGTTTATATATATATTAGCATAAAATCAAAAAAAAAAAAAAAAATTGTTGCAAGTTGATAACAATGATCATTTCTGAAATTTTAATATTGTATGTGTATGTGCTGAATAAAATGGGTGTCTAGACTGAGTTAACTACAACTCAAATGAACAATATGTCCAATACAATGATAATGCTATATCAAATTATAGAAACCAATTTGTATACAAAATTTGAACGTGTTACATCGCTTACTATTCTTATAATAAAGTTAATTACTGTTGATGCGAATTTCTGTACTGACTAAATCGTTGAGACGTAAACATGCGCCAACCAGAGATACTCGGTCAACTTTTGGGAGAACCGAGTAAGATGGGTCCGTGATTCCTGGGAATTAGCGTAAGGGACCCATGTCGCATGTAGTGGTGCTCAAGGTGGTGATGTGCCTATAACAACTAAAGAGAACAATTGAAAAGAAATCTGAGAAACTAAATCTAATTTTTCATTGATTAACACAGAACCTTTTACAATCAAAAGCCCATTTTATAGTGAGCTTACAAGAGAGTAAAAGAGTAAAGTGACAGTAAGAGAGAGAACTGATGAAGAGAGTGTTAGCTGAAGAGTGTAACTCGATCAGCTTAAGTAAGGAACATTACTGAAACACATCGTTTCAATAATGTTACATAGAGGTCCACATCTTTTGACAGTTGGACGTTTAGTCCTAAACAAAGACTTATTCTTACAGTGCCTCCCAATAGACGATGAGAAAACTAGACGTGTTTAAAGTAGTTCGGTTGGGAAAGCGAATGAGGCCTATGTCCATTGATGTATTATTTCTTTTTGTGGTGTTGGGGATGAAAAAATCTTTCTAGTTGGCATTGAGGCCTAAGATTAGAGAGAGAGAGTGATGCTTTCTTGCTTTCTTCTCTATGTTTTTTGTCTCTATCTCTCTCTGTCTATCCCTTTTTTTTCCTTTTTCCCCCTCAGCCCCCCTCTGACAGTTGGTGTCTTTACAGGTATCCTCTTGGCTGGGCTGCATGGAGAGCACATGGAGCTTGTATGGCCATGTGTCGTTCAGTCGGAGTATGCAACTTATATGTGGTAAGCTGATTTGTCCAAGGGGACAGATATTTTCCTGGTGTGGACCCTTTTTTTTTTTTTTTATCTCGTCACACCTTTCGTCCGCGCTTCCATGCTGGGTGCTCGCGTTTCTTCACTGAACAGTCTTCCTTTCTGGGCTTGATGCTTAGTCGATGCTAGGAGGCGTCTTGGGCTCATCTACTTAATCTGGGCTTCTTTGCTCAGTCCGGACTAAAGATTTTTCCCACACAACAATTAGCCTATGTCCATTGTATCCCTTTTTTTTTTTTTTTTTTTTTTTTTTCCCTAAAGAGAATGATTACAATGATTTTTTGATACATAATGTGTAGATAGTTCTGCTCAATATCTCCCACTAATCTTCTTTCTTTTTTTTTCTTTCTCCCAATCTCTCTCTGTTGTTTACGCAATCCTCTCACGACTCCTACCTCGTTCCCATCATTCGCGTCTCTTACGTTGATTCCCAAGAATCATGCACCCATCTTACCCAATTCTCCCAAGAGTCAATCGAGTATCTTTGGTTGACGCGTGTTTACGTCCCGGCGATTTAGTTGGTACGAAAATTCGCATCAACAATTACGTGCATAAATTAGGCTATACACAATAATCATTTATAGATTACTGTATAAAATAATATCTTAACTTAATATATTTAGACTCTACTTTGATTTCATTATTTCGACACTACTATGTTAAACATGAAATTTTTATGTTTAAGATACTTGATCATAAATTTAAAACTCCATTTAAAAAAAAAAAAATTAATTCAAAGATTTATTTGAATTATGTAAATACCAAAATAATGGTTATTAATTGTCTTAAAACAGTGAGATACGATGATAATGAATGAGATTTGGATTTTATATTTTTTGGCTAAGATATATTTAGTAATTGGGATTAAATATGGTATGGTGCAATAAATGGACGAACATCATAATTTGTTTTTTACTCCCATATTTAGATACAACTTTAATTAACTACTACCATATTCAGATTACAACTTTAATTAACCATATTTGATTGATTAATAATACTAATTCCATTTATGTACTCAGCAATAATGGAGCATTGAAACTTTAATTAACCATATTTGGTGGACCAATGTTATTTAAAGAGGAAATGGCTTTTCCCACCC